AGTTAGACTTGATTTGGATCAAATTAAAGTGGATCAGATCAAATACCTAACCTATAAAAACTAAGTTGGGTCGAGTCAGCACAAAAATCTGACCCAACCTGACCCATGCACACCTTACAAACATCATATGTATTTTATGTGAATGACAGGTTCCGTTCACTGTATTAGAACTGTTTTGACGAATGAGTCTCGAGGAAGATCACTTATTATGGTAAATTTGTTAAATTATTATGTTTTCAATGATTTCATGTAAAATTAAGGGAAATAATAGCTTTGATGCCTCCCAAAATCGGCACTGCAACTTAGGAGTGTTTTTTTTTTTTTTTTTTTTGGAAACAAAGGAAACAATCAACTTAGGAGTGTTAATGTCATAGGCTCATAGCTACTGCAATATGAACTAACCTTTATTGCAGTAAATGAGAATGATATATTAATATCTTAGGAAAATATCTTTACTAGTCCAGTAGCATTAAAGACCGATAGCACTAAAAACTCAATGCATTACCTATTAAAGTTAAAAAAATTCACCTAACTTTTTTTATGATTAATGTCACATAAATATTATTTATTTCCCCTTTCAGTTAAAAAGAAACTATTAGAGAAGTACGGAATAGATACTATTTAATTTTATTTTAGGGCTATGATCAATTTTTTGTGTGTGTATGAAATTTCTATTTAGCCCGATTATTCTGTGAAGGACCTTTAGGGTTATGATCAGCTTCTAATATCACAAAGATCGAAAGTTTTGATATTGACAATGAGATAATTGAAGAACTATCCAGGCTTAGTGTCATGTACATTAAAATAAGAGTTTAAATTCTATCATGTTCTAGGAAATAAAATTATCTTTTACATATATTTAAAAGTGTGTGGGACCTAATTTTTCTCTTTCTCTCTTCTGCTTACATTACCTCATATGAACTACACACTTTTATGTGTGTATAGAAGATAATTTTATTTCTTACAATATCAAAAACTTTAAACTAAGGTTGTTGAATCTCAATACGTATCGTGTATTGTTTGGCCAGTGTTTTGTAGGGGTGTTAATGGGCCGAATCGAGCCGGGCTTTGGTCTTAAAATGTTAAGCCTGTGTTTAAATTATGTCAACCTGACCAAGCCTGTTACCTATTATGAATATATTATCGGCCTGTGGTCTAGTTTTTTTACAAAAAAATAAAAGTCCGATTTAGCCTGTTTAACAAAGAGTAATACAACAAAAATTTATCCAAACAGAATATACAATCAATAGGACTAGAAATTCTATAAATATTCATAAATTCAATGTATATCCAAACAACATAATATAGAACAAAATCATTCAAAAATTCTGTTTAACCAATAAAATGGGATGAAATGGATTGAGAGACAGACGGCCATTACAAGTAGTATAAAAAATAAAATTAAAAATAAAAATTAATATACTAGGCCAGCCTAAGAGGCTTTAAGGCCGAGCTTTTGAATTGGAGCCTGTGGCCTTTTTATTAAACAAGCTTTTAAACAAGTCCAAACCTGGTTTTTATAACTAATTTTATGCATGTAAGCTCAGGCCTTCACGAGCTGAGCCAAAGGCCCCTGATTCGTTTATCACCCCTAGTGTTTTGTATCGTGTATCATGAATCGTATCGAATCATAAGATACAAAAATATAATAAAAAATAATTTAAACATATAATATAATTAATATCATATAAATCCAAATTTCAAAAAGGATCTAATAAACAAAATACATAAGTAACTAAAGTATAAATCAGTTATTCTCCTACTCATCAATCATTAAGATTAATATTAGAGTAAACACCCTTTTTGGTCCCTAGCAATATTAGCGAAATCTATTTTAGTCCCTGGCAATAAAAAAGTACCAGATTGGTCCCTAAAGTTATGAAAAAGGGCCACGTTAGTCCTTCTGTCAACTCCTCTGTCATGGTCAAACTAACGGTGCCCATGTGGCACGTTATCTGCTGACGCGGACTCTACGGTGGAAAGCTGGACGACGACGTTTTGAATCAAAAGGATTGCAAAGCTTTCCATGGAAAGCACGACGTCGTTTTACTTGAATCCAATTAATTGATAAAACCCAAATAATGAACCCTAAAATTGAAAAAAACCCAAATGCCTTCAATCGAACCCTAAACCGGAAACTCCATCCCCCAAATTGATGAGCAAATCTGTAAACAACAAAATGCCCCCAGAATGTTTGCACTTTGATGATTGAAACTCGACGAATAACATTCAGCCATCAACCAGATTTCTGGGCGTGGGAGAAGATAGTGTTTCTTCTAGCATGGGGGGGGGTCAAGTGAGAGTAAATCAATGGGGGGAAGAACAATGGCAAGGACCACTGGTTGGAGGTGCAAATGTGGGAGACAAAGTATTGTCTATACCTCCAAAACTGAGAGGAACCCAAACATGGCTTTCCTTGGGTGTCCTAATTTCAAGGTACGAATTTGTAATCTGCCCCTTTATTGAGTTGGAACACTTGCTAACCATGGTGTTTATTTTTTGCAGGAGAAGAAGCCCTATTGTGTTTTTTTAGATGGGTAGATGACATGTGTAATGAACCCATGGAACTGGAAGAAGCAAGAATTCACACTGTGGAGTTGGATGTTGCTGAAATTAACTTCAAGTTGAAGTATGTGGAGATGATGATGAGAGAGCAAGATGTGAAGATTACTGAGCAAGGAATGAAGCTTCATCAGCATGATAGAAAACTGAATGATGTATACCTGAAGTTGGTGGGGGAGTTACATAGGATGGACAAAAAAATTAGGACAGTTGATAGGTCAGCTAGGGTCTTAGGTGCTTGTGTTGTTGTGATAATGATCTGTATGTTTGTTGTTAGTGTGGTAAAAGTGAAAACAAGTGACCCAAATGTATTTTTCCTTCAGTGAATTGTAATGAGTACTCCTTCTTTATGTTATTCAAATTATGTGTTAGTTCCAATTTGTTTGTGTGTATTATCATATGGCCTAATTAGATTGCTACTGATAGAGATGCATAACTCATGAACTGCACATACAGAAGTTGCATACTGATATGCATAATGTTGTTACCGATTGCAAAACACGAGGGCCATTTAGGTCCCTGGCAATGTTACTTGAGGCACATTATGGTCCCTGACAAAATGCACAGTGGACTTAATGGTCCCTAACTTATTGCATAGTTAGGCATGAATGAATAAGCCATGTACAGATATAGATGCATAAATCATGAAATTGCTGTTATAGAAGTTCCATATTTAAAAGGGCCATATTTGTGCACCAGCGTAAAATAAATACTGCCATTTTGGCCCCTGACAAATTGCACAAGGACCATTTTGGTCCCTAACAAAATGCACAGGGCCCTTATTGGTCCCCAAACAGATCAAAATAGTCACATTTCAAAACAGATGTTGTCCAGTACAAGTTCAAAACAGAAGATCAGAAACATTTCAGTTACATATGCTGTCCAATATGTCCAAACATAGGACAAAATAAAAAAACAGTCCAAAATTAAACTGATGATCAGAAATTAAATAGATGATTAGAAAAACAGATAATCAGAAATTAAAAATTAAAAAAATAGGAAAATAGTAGTGCATAATAACATGCATCAACCCTGCATCATTCATCAGCCATCAACCAAAATAAATGGCACTTAACATGCATGTATAGAATATAACCAGTCTCCACAATAATTGTCTTCCTAGAACTACAAAACAGTAGTGCAGTACAAATAAAAGCCAACTAATAGGAATCATAAGTGAGGCCTATAAATACAATCTTGGCCATGCATCAAAATGATTACATTATATCTGTAAAAGGCCTCCAAAAAAAATGGTCAGAATTTACAAAAAAAAGGGCATTATATCCACTCCTTTCCAGTTGGCTCATGCACTACTCCATTGTTCTTCTTCATCAGCAGCTCATTTTCTTGAGAATCGCCTTGGTGGCATGAAACCAGGTGTTGTCATGAAGTGCATAAATCTGCTTCGTGTGCCAGTGCTGGCTGCCTTCATTGTCTCTTCAGTCAACACTGCATTTGCTTCTTCTGGATTTGAAGGAGGTGGGCTGCATCCTCTCAAGTTGACTTGTTGTAACATCCCGTCTAACTAGAACCTTGTTTAAAATACGATTAGGAGGGTGTAGGACATTTATTTCCGAATTATGCTCTTGTGTGTGCTAGGATGGAATTAAATTAAATTATAGAACCAATTAATATTCCATTGGAAAATGAATGATTAATTTTAAATATGAGACATCTTAGTCATGAGTGTATATTTAATTTTATCGAAACATAGAAGGTGAAATTATTATAAGAATGATTTAGTAATAACATATAGAAGGAATTTAAAATTAGGTAAAAGGCATGTAATTTATTACCTCATGGGTTGGTTATAAAATAACTAACAATATTTGGATTAGATAAATTGGACTCACACCCTTTGTGGAGCCGACGACCCATGTGGTTTAAGTGTGAGTTTTGAGTTCAGCCCATTTGTTCATAACATCATAATCTTATCTCATCCTAGTGAATCCAACTAAATAGATTCTGATTGGGTAGCAATTACATTTGGCAACTAAATCAGCCATTATCCCCTTGTATGGTGCGCTGCCTTGGGCAGCAAAAAGGGAGCTGATCACTTGTGCTTTTAACATACCCACTCAGCTTTAATTTGAATCTGGTTAGCTTTATGGCATGCATCCAATAGGAGGAGGGGGATGCAGTGTGCATGTTGCCTCATTGGCTTGGAAAAAAATCTCACCCTTAACTTACTCCCCTCATGCACTGATCAAAGGAGAAAATAGTGAATAAATTATGTTTGCCTAAGCCTTTAAAACCAACATTTAACCCTTCACCCTCTCATTCCTTTAGGCGCTGGTAGTGTAGAAGAGTTAGGTTGCAACTTGGAATAGCGAAACAGAAGCAAAACCGTACAACCACATACTTCCACCCACCTTCTCCTTGTTTCACCTTGAGGAAGAGTAGCCACATAAAGTCTAGTTTCTCTCTGTAAAGAAAAGCGCAACACCACCCTCTCCACCAAATTCTTCTCAAAGTCGTGACACCACTAGGGATTCAGCTTCAAGAAATAATTCCATATTTCCTCCTATTGTCTGCCTCTGAACCGTGCAGCCTTGAGGAAGAACCAAGGTCTTGAAAACAACTCCTCTCCTCTGATTTCCTAGCCGTGCGTTTGTATTCGAAAAGGTAAAGTGTATCTCTACTTCACTGCTCATCCATTTGGTTGTAGGAGGCAAATTCTTTAATACGAAACTAATAACTCTAGCTAAGTCCTCTTCTTTTTTTTCCCTGTACGGTCACCGTCTTGAAGGGTGGAGAGCACTATTTCTGGAAACTTGCTATTCTAGTGGAGCTCAAAGGATTGTGTTGTTGCTCCTTGCCCTTTTGGTGTTCCTTGTGTATCGTCCAGGGGTAGGTACAAAACCTCAATTCTTTTTCCTTGCTAAACCGAGAAACCTGCTTAGAAAGTAGTAGTCTTAGTTGTGGTATAATTCTGCCATGTATGCTTTTAGGCGGTTGGATGATAATGAACTTAATAATAACCTTAAAATTAATAGTAGGACTGTATTGGTGATAGTTTAGTGCACCCTTAAATTCTATGAAGCAAAATAAATAGGCCAGCATGTATAGGTCCCTGTAGCGCATCAGGCATGGAGTTAAAAGAGTTTTGAAGTAAGTTATCCTTAACGGTTTGGTGTAGAGAAAGTCGATCCTGACCTGAAAAATGTTGTTGTGCACTAAGACCATTTTGGCTAAAATATTCATTATGATGTAGGACTCCATTTACACACCATTGGTCACGTTAAACAAAAATTTTGAATTTATATCATGAGCACCTTTGTATGGTCAAGGCAGACTCTGTTTTAGAGAACTTTGTTATGTTTTAGGTCATTTTTAAAATTTAAGAGACAACACATTCATAGGCTATACCTTGCGCATCCTAGAATAGTGAAGTGGAAATTATATGATTGGAACCTTGAGGAATTCTCCTTTATAAAACCGCTGCTGTGTGGGATTAAAAGTCACGGAATTACTCACTCTTAAGCGTCTAAGAGGTTATTAAGGAGTCCGTATATGATTAGGAAAAATGTCCTACAAACCGAGAAGGAATTTAAGGAGAAATAAGCTAAAAATACATGTTATACGTAAGAAATTGTAGCGAAAAATTCTGACTTCGCAAACCTTGTATTTAGGTGCGCACTTTTCGTAAGGTGGTGGACTTTCTGCTGCTGCCCGGTAAATTATTGTGACGTGTGAGGTATGTGTTAGGTGGTACTACCTAATGTGACTATTAGCTAGTGTATGAGATTGTGATGTGTTGCTCACATATGTTCAATGTTATTTTATGATTATGATATGGCAATGGTAAGAATATGAAATGATGATAATGATATGTGCATGCATTTTTACATCATGATGCATTTTTCTGTTTGGTGTGTGACCGCATTTCATGGCATGTATACAATAGATTCATGTAGGCTTTGAAATGTAGAATAGTTATATCCAGGATCATGTGTATGAGCACGCATCATATAGGCATCCCTTGATATCGGGGTACTGGGACAGTTGGCGTCAGTCCGCATAGGCCACAGTGGAATTCCCCAAATGATGGTGCCATGCATGGAATTTCCACTGTGTATACACGCGCACGACGGTTCCATGAGCGTGAAGAAGGCGATAGATATATATGCAATATGATACATGATGAAAATGATTTAATGTTCGAAGCGACTATTTATAATTTTGTGCCTAGTTTAATATTGTTGCATTATTGGTTTTGTTGCCACACTACTGGGATTATTCTCACCCCTTTGGGGCTGCAATTTTTAAATTGCAGGAGGACGTAAGAGCATTTAAGGACTTGGATGTTTGAGTTTTGCTATATTTTGCTGCTAATTGGAACTATTCTCTGTTGACTGCTTCAAGCTTTGGATGACTGTATTATTTAGTACTTGATGATTTTTGGATGAATGTAAAACTACTATTTCTTTCTGCTTTAAGCCTTCTACAAGCAGCGGCTACTTTAAGCAAATCTGAAAGCGTTTTGCGAAAAGGAATTTTTCTAAATACTGAATTTTTAACAGTTTACGGTCAACTTCCGAGTTACGTTCCAAGGAGCAAATGACCTCCGATTTACTATTATTTTATATGCACGCGAAGCCCCAAGCGTCTACTTTCAGATTTCATTAACTGTACGAACATATTTTGAAGGCTCGGTTTTATATCAATATTTAAAGGAATACGGTTTTTCTTAAATTTTCACCGTTTTTATCAGCAACACCTTTTAAATTCCCTCCATCAAAATTTTCCTTAGATTCAGCTTTCCACCTCAATTCCTCAAAGATTTTTAAAGAAAAAGTTTTTATCCACTTTCGCAACTCTAATAACAATTAGCAAACGACTTTCTTGGATGCATACAAGAGAGGGTGTTACACTTGTTGTGCCTGAGAACTACCAATTTCTGACGGGCCTCCTTGACTTAATGGGATTTCATTTACTGAGTCTGTGCCAATCCTCACAGATTGTGGTCTTGCTTGGCTCTTGTCTGTTTTGGAAGCTGGTGGCCCCTTACAACTCTTGCCATAGTGTCCAGTCTGACCACATTTACTACACTTGGCTTCATATGTCCTTTTTACTTTCTTTGTCATGCTCCCTTGGTCTTCAGTTGGGTCCTTCTTCCTGTATTTCTTGGGACGCCCAATTGGCTTTTTCAGTTTTGGTGGAAGAGGTTTGGGTTCATCAGATGCAGGCCAATACTTGTCCGAGTTCACTGGGTTTAAGGTGTGCTCATATGTGGCATGCAATGCATCCACTGTAAGCCATTGATGGACATAGTTCTCGGCTGGCTCGTTTTTGTGACAAATGGCTGCTATAGCATGCTCACAAGGCAGTCCAGTCAACTGCCATACATTGCATGCACATGTATGTGTTGTTAAATTGACTCCAACTCTATCACCTTTCCCACTGACCTCATAGATATCTTGCTACAGATTTCCAGTCCAAGTGGGTGTCCGTGAATTGCTAAGAACCTTTAACTGATCCAGTTTCTTTTGCTGAGCAGGAGCTATTTTACCCCGAACAGTTCCTAACACCCTCTGATGTGCAGCCATCCTCCTCATAATGTAGCATCTCAGTTCCTCCAATAGAGTGATAATCGGTTTTGACCTATATCCAACGATCTTGGCATTCCATACCTCTGCCATGTTGTTTGTGATATTATCACATTTCGGCCAGTGGCATTAACACAAATGCACTTAACATCAGCAATGCAGTAAAAAATGCAGTTTGTGTAATCATGAAAATGTAGCATTGGCTTTTAAACCAATAAGCAATACACTGAATGCAAATACAAAAAAACCAATAACTAATAAGAAGGTAACTAACAGCAAAAATACAATAAACAAATAACTGAATAACCAATAACCAAATGTATATTGACTGAAGGAAAAAATCAGCAAACAAATATGTGGCTGAATACTAAAGCAAGTTCAAATGAAACAGGCTTAACACATCTTCTGTTGGTTAGAAATAAAATTCCATCCAAACACTGCGTGAGGGCCAATGTCTTCCTGTAACAGGGTTAAAAACCACTTCCAGTTCTCTTTTGTTTCACTATCAACAACTGCATATGCGATGACATAGAAACTTTTGTTGGCATCCTCCCCAACTGCACTTAACAATTGACCTCCATAATATCCTTTCAAAAAACATCCATCCAAACCAATTAAGGGCCTGCAGCCAGCTTTGAACCCTTTCTTGCATGCATCCAGACAAATGTACAACTTAGAAAATATGGGAGAAGAGTTCGGATCAGGTTGTGGGATCACTTGCATTTGACATGTAGACCCTGGATTGCTTCTCAATAGCTCACCTAAGTAGTCTCTCAATTTTGCGTACTGTTCTTTTTCACACCCTTTTATTTTGGCCTTGGCTTTCTGAAGTGCTTTGGTCACTTTCTTCAAATGGACATGAACTTTGTACTCCTCTTTCATGTGGTCGTAGGCCTCACCCCTTGTCATGTTCGGTTGTGTCATTAGCTTTTTTTCTAACTTCTTTGCAACCTAATCCCTACTTGCCCTCTTGTTTCTAAAAAGTCTGCAGCAAGTGTGGATGTTATTAAAAGTCTTGATTTGGAAAGCTTTCATTTTGTTGTTCCACGCACAGTAAATCATCCAATCACATTCATCATTACTACACTTTGCTCGGGCCCTCACTTTGTCATTCTTCAGCCACTTGAATTGTCTTCCTAGATCAATAGTGTAGTCTTTGACAGCATTTTTAAATACTTGAAGACTCACAAACTCCAATCCTACCTCTAAGTGTACATGACCAAACTCCTCATGCACATTAAATTTTGGATTGACAACCTTTTCATCCTCTTCAGCACCACTTGAAGGAGGCGTGTTCAACTCTTCAGAGTTATACCCATACCCACCCTCCTCGAACGACATTGACTTCTCCTCCTCTTCCATTGTATTTTCCCCTGCCAACTCTTCAACTTGCTTTTTTTTCTTCCTTTTTTGCTTTTTTTTTCGACAACTTTACCCTTCCCCTTGCGCTCCTCTTCACTCTCTGTTTCTGTATCATACATAGGTGGAGGAGGTTTATATGCCTCATCCTCCACACTATCTTCTAAGTCAGTAGAAAACCCATGACCACTGCCACTATCATCCTCATCACCATCACTGCCACCCTCATCCTCCAACCCATCACCACTGCCACCCTCATCCCCCTCTCCACCACTGCCACCCTCATCCTCCTTCCCACCACTGCCACCCTCATGTGCATGTGCAATAACTTCTTCCGGTGAAACATAGACAGGGGTTGCAATGCAATCTTCAAAATAAATTTCTATGAGCTTGCCATTACTCAATGCAGCCTTGACCATCTCCACAATATCAGCGTCCGTATTCAAAGGCCTTAAACCTACGTCTAAATCCATTGCGTTTGGCATGAGCCACAACATTTGGTTACACGTCTCATATCCATAACCCTTGAACAGAGTATCAAGGTCACGCAGGTTGACGAAGTCAGCATCCATCTCAGGTAAGTCATCCACTTTGCCATTTACATAGGTTAGGACCCATTTATCATCTCTCTTCAACACACCCCCATGATGATACCTTATCACTATATATTCATCCATCTGGAAAAAAATTCAACACAGGGCTGTAAATTACAATAAATTCATGCGAACATCAGGGTCCACAAACCAATTTAAAAAATGGCAATAACCATATACATCAAACTCATCACTTCCGAGAGGGGGGACAAGCCAATAACGTGGAAAAAAATTGCACCTTTACAAATTATGCATGCACTAAAATATTGGTGACCACAATGCACTAAAAAATGGCAATATACTTTACAAACTGGTAGTGAAGGGGACCACATACATATATGGGTATTTTTTTTTAAACCCTAACCATGATAACTCACAATGGAGCGCACATGGGGGACCATCATCCAACAAAGAATAGACAACATGAGGTGAGGGGGGACCACAAATATTGAAGATTTTCTAAAAAAACACTTACCTTACTGCATGTAAGAAAACCAGCAGACTTGAACTTCCCTTCACCACCACAGGACCAGCCTTTCGACAACCTTCAAAGTCCACGCTCGATTGCCTTCCCTGCAACCACCATCTTCGACAACCCTCACCGTTCAACGAAGCTTCCAGTGGAGGTCAACAATGGTCTTCCAATCATATGCAATAACTTAGTGACAAAAACGAGTCTCCACGGTTACTTGTAGTGTTGGTGCCTCTTGATTTCTCAAGAATAAAACGGCGTTGTTTGGTCCTTTTGAAAGCTTTGCAATCCTTTTGATTCAAAACGTCGTCGTCCAGCTTTCCACCGTGTTAACCGTGGAGTCCGCGTCAGCAGATAACGTGCCACATGGGCACCGTTAGTTTGACCGTGACGGAGGAGTTCACAGAAGGACTAACGTGGCCCTTTTTTCATAACTTTAGGGACCAATTTGGTACTTTTTTATTGCCAGGGACTAAAATAGATTTCGCTAATATTGCTAGGGACCAAAAAGGGTGTTTACTTTTAATATTATCACTACTATCACTATCAGTGACATAACTAATACATTATCCTCTTCATTAGGGTAGTCATTTGACTTATCTCTCATTTCTCTTTCAACAATCTTGAGGTCCTTTTCCATTTTCCCTTATCATCATTATTTATTTTCTTTCCTTATTAATAATAATTTTTAGATTTTTTTAATTTAAATCACCAATCAAATATTTATTTTTTGTTATATTAAAAATTAAAAATTTTAATTTAATTTTCGTATCGTATGATACACGTATCGTATCATATCGTGTCGTTTGATACAAATCTCTTTCTGATACATCCCACGATACATATTGCTGGGCTTGTGAATCATTTTGTATCGTATGAATCGTATTGTGTATTGTGCGATACTGATAATTATGCTTTAAACCCTTTGAATAAATATACAATTCTATTTTGCCTTAAAATTAGTGACTACAAGAGAGAAAAAAAGAGTAAAGACCCTTTTAGGTCCTCAACAAAAAATACAGTACCCATTTTAATCCCTTATAAAAATTTTAGTCCTGAGATCCCTAAGAAAGACAAAGGAAACCCACATTAGTCTTTTCGTAAATGAACCTTCCACGACGTTAATAACGTTCCTGACGTGTAACGTTAACCAGGTAAATCACATTCTACGTAGGCCTTAAAATGTCGTCGCTTCGTTGTTTAACCAGAAACATACATATTGGGTATTCCATCATTGTCTGTATTTTGTTATTTAGGGTTTAGGTATTTTTGTGTGAACTTTGTAATTTACAGTGAGAAGATGAATGTTTCTTCTGGGATGGGGAGCTCAAGTGGAAGCAGTTCAATTGGGGCTAGAAGCCAAAGAAGGATTGCTTCTCCAAGGTGTAAATGCGGGAGGCCAAGTGTTGTTTACACTTCCAAAACTCAGAGAAACCCAAATAAAGGATTCTTTGGGTGCCTCAATTCCAAGGTGACCAATTTATAGACAAGTATACACATTATCTAGTTTTCAGTTTTTTCATTCGATTTTATTTAAGTTGAATATTATTTTGAGTTTGGTTTCATTTGCTGTTAGGAGAAGAAGCCATACTATGATTTTTTTAGACGGGTGGCTGATGTCATTGATGATATGATGGAAGTGGAAGATTGGAGAGTTAATAAGCTGAAGTTGAATATAGCTGAAATGGAATTCAAGTTGAACTATTTGGACATGATTCTGAATGATCAATTGCAAGTTAAGGTGAATGAGTAGAAAATAAATATTAATGAGCAGCAAACAAAGATTAATGAGCTATCAATGAAGATGGTTGCTGTAAAACCCCAGTTTACCTAACCGGAATGCTACGTAAAATGGTACATACGCACACATAATTTAATAAGAATAGCAGAAGACTTCCTATGAGTATCACAATAGTTCTCTTGAAACTACGTGACAAATTAAAACTTTTCCTTTGTATCATTTATGTTCACAACATTATAATAAACTACACAGCCCCATAACTGCATAGAATTAAGTCTTAACACCAAATTGTAACAGTTACCAATTCAGTAAAAATGGATAGCATAACCTCTATTTATTGGACTATCCAAATCCTTAAACCTGATATCTAGACATAACAAACACATACAAATTCATATTAACGTCTTCAGAATCTATCCATAGATTCCTACTTACTCTCATCAAACTTGAAATATACAGTCATACTTTGCTGTACGTAACATATCCAAACCTTTAACTATAAAACGTCATATCAATTATATACATTTGTACCCATAATATTTTCAACCCAAATACATAATTTATCTGAAACATAAACATGCATGTACGAATCCTAAATGTTAGTCTATCATGTTCCTGATGCATCTGCTAACCATTCTTTTCCGCATTGCGTATTCTCTGAAGACTCGTCACCTAGAGCAGAACCTGAAACATATCCCCATAATGCGGGATGAGATATAAAATTCCAGCAAACTCTAAGTTTATAGAATAGTCTCCCATTCTCAAGTTCACTTCCTGCATAATTGGTCAGCACACGCAGAATAGCAGAAACATACAGATTATGTATACAATATTCAAACAAAACACACAACACCCAACATACAAAATTCCATATTATTAAATCTAGTTCAATTACATCCTATGGTTAATCTACATGCAATCATTATAGTTTGACAAACATTTAACGTATTTAAATTATACAGTTAGCTTATCAATAATTTGTAAACATACAATGGTAATAACAAATATATAATCACACATTCACTTTCAAACAACTTTATTTAACTTAGTAAACTATTATCAGTTTACTATTAACCTTACAGAATTTACCATATAATTCAATGTTATAGTTCTTACGGAAGTTTCCATCTTTCTCCCGTTAATCTGATACTCTCGGAGTAATTTCTCCAAGTATCATAGCATTTACAGACTTACTCACATTTCTTTATCATATTCTTCTTTCACAAATCAATACTGACATCTTCATTAATTTTCATAATATCAACAAAACTTACAAATACAATAAAAATCAACAGACAACACATTAATTAGACAAACAGCAAAGAATAAGCAGAATCAGTAAATATATTTAATTAATAGACAGATACACCAAACAATTTAATAGATAAAGCACATCATAATACAAAACAATTAATCAATTAAACAAATACAACACACACACATTCAATCTACCATTACAATATACCATAGAAATACAAATTCAATGTTAAAATATCTGAACCTCACACATAAACTTTACCAGACATACAAATTCATCATAATTTCATATTCGAAATACATATTCAAACTTATCAGACATACCAATCATTTTATAAATTATCAGACACATAAATCATTTCATATTAGCAGATATGTTATTATTACGCATATTAATAGACTCGTTAATCATTTTACATGTTAACAAACACGTCAATCATTCCGTATATTATCATGCATTTCAATCAGTTCACATACCATCATATGTGGCAATCATTTCACATATTAACAGAAACATCAGTCATTTAACATATTAACAGATACGTCAACGTTAAATTCATTATTTAAATTATATATCAACATACCTCACACACCACATTTTATTTTCCATATGCATACCACTATTCCAATTTCCAACCACATTATTAATACATAAAACAACCATTATCCCACCGAATTCTGGTAAAACAATAAGATAGAACAAAACTACTTAAACAGATAGCTTACCTACGAAGCTTTACTTACAGACAACTTGAATCCCCATTATTTTTGCTCCTAAATACACACTAGTATCACAAACAAGACACTATCAATTACTGAATAAGTGTCACTTGCAATTCAAACAATTAACATTTACATGTTAATTCACCAATTTACTTAGGTGATTTATCCAACTCTTAAAATCACTTTACTTGAATTGTTCTTATTAAATTCTGAGACTTCACCATATTAATCTAGATGTCATAAGCTTTACAACAATGTATTATAAGCTTCGTTTTGATAAGTATAACCCAAGATATGTCTGTCGTAAGCAAACTGCTTAAATCCGTCATCAGAAACGGGACAGCAGACACTTCTGTATTTTTCTCGAAATGTTAACCAACCCAATTTATTCCCAAATTTTTGAAAAAAAATACTAGACATCTTGGGCTTTAATTTGACATAAGATTCGTTCCATTTCGTTAAGAAACGGAGGAGTTATGAATTTTCAAAACTCCAAGTAACATGCTACCAACACAGGCAGATTCGAACACCGTCCACCATTTCCAAATTTGGGCATGATCCAGACCTCATAAAATACACTACTTTTTTTACAAGAAACTATACATCTTAAAATTTAATTTCATTAAGAAATGAGTGAGATATGCCCTTTACAATTTGGGCTAAAGGTAAACAACATTGTTTTACAGCCTGAATAACCTTCACTCTTTTAACCACGAAATCACCAATTCTGGTTGGATTAATAGAAATTTTTGATATGTTATACTATACTTACATATGTTTAATTTGGCGCAAACCCCATTCCATTTGGATTTCTACAAATCCAACTATAAAATTTTCAAAATAGAGGCCAGATTACCTCTATTAGGGTTTTTCACTTTTTCTTTAGACTAGTTTGCTTAGTTTTATTTTAATTCAACGATCAAGATTTAATCTCATCAAAACCTCATAAAATATTCAATATCATAACATCATATATTCAGCCTTAAAATAGGAAGAACAAAAATGAAATCTCAAGATTAAATCACTAGAAATCAAGTAGGTTACCTTGAATAGCTTCCAAAGCAACACTAGGTTAATCTCCACACTTTAAACCCTTGAAACCATCATCTTTTCACGCCAAGTAAGCCATACATCCATGCCTTTGGAGAGGATAAACTCCACTCATCACAGCCCCTCTAGAGAAATTAATCATATGGTTGGATTCACAAGCTCCTAAATTACAAGTTTCATATGGAAACCTAGGCTTAAAAGTGTTTAGTTTGTGAGATATCGCTTAGCCATTTTTCAAGAGACCATTTTCATCCATGGAAAACATAAGGAAGACAAGAGGAGAAAAAAAAGAAGGCATATAGTTCCAAGGAAGAAAGAATGACCGGTTGGATGATGTAAATGTATCATCCAATTAACTTAACATATTTAACTTGTTAACTTTTCATTTTGTCAACAAGAGATTATATTCTATTGGTTCACATCTCTCCCTTATTTAAGCTAGAAATTTTGGCCATCCCACTTCACAAGAGAAGAAACTGACTTGGGAGTCGTAAAATATCCCACTTTGAGACTTAATTTGCAAGCTTTGCTAGCCTACTTTATTTGACTTTCAACAACACTTACTCAATTCCTATTGGCTACTTTAATACATATATGTTTAGCCACAAATCTGACCTCAAGGAAGAACAACTTTGTGGAACACAAATGAGAAGACAAGGCAATTCATCAATCATGTAAAAATTCAATAATTCAACAAAACTATATAACCAATAGTTTTCTAGTCTTTCTTTCAACTTTGACCTAGTCATCCTTTTAAATTAATATGATTGGTCCATCTTAAAACATATAATTTCATATGTATCATGACTAAAAAGAAAGCATTCAATCAACCATTTAGTAGAAAATAAGACTAGGTTATCAAACTAGTCATCTTTATCAACGTACTTTGGTTTTTCATGTAATTTAGTATAACTTTGACTTTTTAATTTATCAAGATTTGACTCATTTTTATAAATTAATCTAGATATAATTAGATTAATCCAAGATCACTTCTAGTCATAAAAATTCCATGGAGAATTTAATTACACAATCAAACGTAAGCTTAGACCATTATTTTGCTTATTTGCAATTTAGTCCCTATACTTTCACATTTATATTTTGACCCCTACAATTTATTAATATTCTCATTTAGGTCTAATTTACCTTACTTGACATGAATTGTATCATCACAAATTTTAACATGTCAATTCATTCATTTACTCAATCAAAACTCACATCAAAAGCTTACTTATTCAAAAGCTAGTGTAATCTAATATTCACACTAGGGTGTTAGCTGCTATCATTATTGTTGTGCTCATCATATGTATTTATGTTGGAAGTAGGTTAGAATGAGGAAAAGTGTACCTAGTGTAACTGATGTTGAAATGCAATGTAGAGGGATTTTATTAATAATATTATGTTTTCTTTCCTTTATTATGATCGAGTTTTATTATAATTGCACAAGAATACCACACAGATTGTCATATTAAAGATAGGAGTTGAGAACACAATATTACTAGTGTCAGTTACCTTCCACAATTTTCATTATTTTAATCTCTGTGTCGGTTACTCAGTTTCTCTTTTAATTTTCCAGTATCTTGTTAAACTCTTAGGTATTTGTATTCCTCCACTGTACAAGCAAAGCATTGATTTATTTCAGTGAAAAGTAATAATTAAGATGATGAATAAAAAAGAGGAACTGCAATACAATTCATTTGATTTGCTTTGATTTTGCAGTTATAATTAGTTGGTAAGTAAGAAATTGATATAAAGGTCCTAGGTAATTATGACTAGATTGACCCTTTTCCGTTCAGCTTTAGTTATGAAATTCATTCCCCTCTTCAGCCTTTCAAAATGGCATCTTTATTTTCACCAAAAGATCAGGCTTGTACCCTACTATATCATTAGGCACAATTTTTGTGTACCTATCTAACATTGCAAAAACTGAGCCCACAACAACTGATCCTTTAGCAAGGTTATTGGTCATGCTACCAACATCTGCA